ATTTCGGCAGTAGAAACAGATCATGAGAAGAACCTGTTGAGTTTGAGCCACCCAAGTCGAGATAGCAACTGCATGGCAGATTGTATGTCTGGGGCTTAGAAAAGTCATAGCTAGAGATGCACATTTGTGAGTTAATAGCTGGTTGGCCATTAACACTGTAGGTCAGGATGAGTCACCATGAGAGAAAGAAGGTAAAGAAGAGAAGAAAGCTAGTGATGCTCATGGAGAAACATGAAGTTCAATGATCAAATAAATGGAGGGAAATGACCCATAAAACTCTTGGTGTATAGTGCCAAAAACAAGGAGGAACTCTTGGGACTAGGAAGCTGTGGCATCTGAAGCCATGGGAAAAGAAGGTTTCCAGGACAGAGCACTCAGTGGTAGGGAGGAAGGAGTAAGGCAAGAGGAGATGGCACAAGTAACTCACTGGTCACTTGTAACTTTAGCAAGATGTTTCAATGGAGTGGAGAGAGCAGAAGCTAGAATATGAGGGACAGTCATGGAACTAGAAGGTAAGAAAGAGTGAGTATGGACAGCTCTTTAAAAATGGTTGTGAAGAGGAGAGAGCACCAGCTGGTAGGGGATGTGAAGTCATACAGATGTTTCTGCTTTGTCTATATTGGTAATGAGTGATTCTAGCATCCTGAGAACTTGGGTAAAAGGAGCAGTTGAATTAACTATAGAGCTGTGATCCTAAATGCAGGGGGACAAATACAGAGCTATGTTGATTCTGGTAGCTCCTGCTCTTGAATGGCCTATTCTGACCTTCTGTGCAACCTGCCCAAGGCCTGCTCCTCTGACCTGGAATGCTAGCTGTCCTTCCCTTTCTCTGCATTTCTCCTCCCTCCTATCTCCTCTGCTCTTACCTCCCCTCCTGCAGCCTGCTTGGCTGTTTTTCCTTGTTTCATTCAACCCCTATTAAGTTATTAACTCATCAGGGTCTAGAATTCCCACTTCCTTTACCTCTTTGAACTCACTCTTTTCCTGTTCACCACCTCAGCAAGTCAGCATTTAGAAGGTTATTCTGCAGACACAATATTAGAATTAATATAATTGGTTTAAAGTGTGGAAGATGTCTCAAAGACATTGGTACAACTAGGAAAGGAATAACATTCTCATCTCTCCATTATCTCCTCCCACCCCTCTCTCCTTGGTGCTTGGGATTGAATGCTGAGCTTTGCAAGTGCTAGGAATGTGTTCTGTCCACCCTCTGACCCTTTTTGTTAACTTTTATTTTGAGACAGGGTCTCCTTAAGTAGCCCAGGTTGGCCTTGAACTTGTGATCCTCCTACCTACCCTCTTGAGAAGCTGGGGTTACAGGCATGTGCCACAGCACCCAGCTTCTCCATGTCCTTTGCTGTGAACTTAAAATAGACTGTATTCAAAGTAATTTCTCCAAGACGGTTTGGTTTCAAAGGGTTACCAGTAAACATACTAAGAATTATTGGATTTTTTTTTACTTGTTAATTCATGGATTCAATTAGGATTAGGATTGGGTTTTGGTTTCTAAAGCAGGCTCTAACATGTTGCTACTCAGACATGCAAATTTTGTCTGAGATTCTTTACATTTACAGCAGTTTCTTAAAGAAAATTGAATGGCTTTATCATTCATTAGAACTTCTTAAATCATGAGTTAATGTGGGTCATAGACTAAGACCAGACAGTTTCCTACTCATTGATCTACATCGCACTGGTCATTTCTTGTCTGGGGATAAGATTGTTGAAGAAGTAAAAATTTTTGGCATCTTTTTTCATGGTCAGATCTTTTGCATGTGTCATATTTATTCCTCAGGATCCTCTGGAGTACTTGTTTGGAGATACTTATTTTACAAATAAGAAAATTGGGCTCAGAACTATGGCAGATGGTACAAGCCTGGTCTTTCTGCTTAGATGTGGAGGAGCCCTGTCATTGTTATAATACTAATATAGGTGGAGTATCTCTAAGCCGAAAATCTGAAATTTGAAATGCTCCAAAATCCAGAACTTTTTGTGTGCCACAAGTGGAAAATTTCACACTTGACCTCATATTATGAATAGATTACAGTCAAAATGCAGGTGCACTAAAAATATTATGTAAAATTACATTCAGGGTATGTATTTGTGTATATAAAACAAATGAACTCCATGTTTAGACATGGACACCATTTCTAAAACATCCCATTCGATACATACAGCATTCCAGTATCCAAAAAAACTCTGAAACACTTCTGGTCCCAGGCATTTCAGATAAGGGACCTCTTATAATAGAAGTAGCTGTTACCATGCATTGACTCTTTAGTACGTGTGCGGGGAGAGGGGCTTCATGTGTGTCAACTACTTCATCCTTGTGACAATCCTGCAAGGACCACCACCCCCATTTTATAGAAGAGAAAACAACTGCAAAGAGGTTAAATTATCTGTCCAGTCACACGGCTGATTAGTAATTGTGGTTGTATTCAGTTCCATCTGACCCCGACATTTTTCTCTAAAGTCATTTTGTTTGTCAAGATGAGGATGGTTCCCTGATCCCAAGAACAAAGTCTGAGAATATTTTTTCTTAGTGTTGTTGAATTTATAACTGCCTCCTAGCATTCTCGTTGAGCCAGAATACAAAATGTTTGTTTAATCTTTCCTTCTTTGTCTGTCTCAGTATGGAGGACAAAAACATCGGATATTTCTGCAAGCTTCTAAGTTTTGATAGTGTCGTTTCTCATCCATCTAGCAGCTTCCCCTGTCAAGACAGACACCAGAATCCAAAATAAGCCAAAAAAACCTCAAGCATAGCTAGAAATAAATTTCACAAGTTGTTGAACTTACTCACTTATCTTCACAACAGTCCCTTGGCACTCTCATGAAGCTGGTTGAGTCCAGCTTTAACATAATTCTAACAATCTTTGTCTATGCTTCATCTTTAGCAGATAAATAATGAGTCCACTGTAGAGGAGGGCCCGATGCAGGGTGTAGTAACAACAGAGGTGTGACCAGAGATAAGAAACAGGATACAAAAAAAATGACAGAAGCCCAGAAGTACAGCCAGCTGAAGCTATCCTGGTGTCAAACACCATGTATGCTTCATAACCATATCACAACAGAGTATCACCAGTTAGTTTTCGTTATGATATAGACAGTGAATATTTATGAAAAGATAACATATCACATTACATAACATTAACAAGATATCATTACATTGGGCTGGGGATTTAGCTCAGTGGCACCGTAGCTGCCTGGCAAATTGCAAGGTCCTAAATTGGATCCCTGGTACTGAAAAAACAAATGGAAAGAGAAGATATCATTATATCATATTTGCAATTTAGGTAGGTAGAAACCCTGTGAGCATGTTTCTTTAGAAAATGGTGGAGGTGAAGCCTCCTCCCCCAAAGCATTAGGTACTTTATCTACCCTTAAAATCCAGCCATCTACAAATGATTTCCCAGAAACTTTTGTGCTATTTTTCTTTGTATTCCTGAGGCACAGTTCTTGACATATAGTATAGGTTGAACATCCATAATCCAAAAATCAAAAATCTGAAATGTTCTAAAATCTGAAAGTTTATGAGCAATGATGCGATGCCATGAGTGGAAAGTTCCAAATGAAACTTCGATTTTTGCACAGAATTATAAAAACATTGTGTACAATTGCCTTTATGCTATTTTTATAAAGTGTGTATGAAATACAAGTGAATTTTGTATTTAGATTTGGGTTCCATTCCCAAGATATCTCATTTTGTATTTGCAAATATTCCAAGCCACCCCCACCAAAAAAACCCCAAAATGTCAGATTAGAGATCCCCAGTCCCACTAACATTAGATGGTAACTGCCAAGCATATCCCCCCCAGGGGGGGTGGATGGCCCTGTTTTGTTGTGGTCTCTTAGACAAGCTGCATTCCTGCATTTATTCCAGATGACTTTATGAATCACATGTTCTGCTTGAACATGTGATTAAACAAGATGATGCTCAGCCTTTTTTCAAATAACATTAATAATCAACATTCAATGACAGAGTGTTGCTCTTATTTATTATCACTGTCTTCATTAATAGTGACCACTAAATGATCATGTGGGGAGGTCATAAAAAGGAAGTTGGGGGCCAGGGATTTGGCTCAGTGGTGCCACCCGCCCCTGCCTCGCAAGGGCAAGGTCCAGAGTTCCATCCCAGGTACCAAAACAAACAAAAAAAAAGAAGTTCGGACATATTTGAAATCCAATAGCTAGAACTAAGCTGAGAATTATGGAATCCCAAAATAAGTGGAGACTCAGGAATTTTCTACAGGCTTCAGAACACACACACAGACACACATACACACACACACACACACACACACACACACACACACACACACACACACACACACACACACACACACACACACACACACACACACACACACACACACACACACACACACACACACACACACACACACACACACACACACACACACACACACACACTGAGCCCTGCATGAATCAGCCTTGATCTGAATGAGACAATCACCCTTCAGAGAGTTGCAGGCAGCTGGAAGATGAACGTGCACACAGGTCATGGGCAGCCAGAGGCCCAGCTTTGTGTGTCTGTTCCAAGCACCTGGCCTGCCTTCCTGCACAGAGCTGTTGTTTTACAGGTCAGGGCCATTTTAAAAAGGCAGAGTCGCTGACCTGTTTAATGAGTGCAGTTTCTGCACAACAGCCCACATCCCTCTCTCCCCAGAGGCCAGGGAGCATTGCTAGCGTGGGGGCCAGTTCTCTGCTCTGTGCCTTAGGGATTTCTGGCCTTAACTCCTAGTGGAATTAGCAGGAGTTATCTATAAATCCCTGAGGCATCCATCAGCAGACAGAGCCAGGCTGCCTTTTGAAAGAAGTTCACTGACCTCTTGTTAACTTAACTCCTTGTTAGGAAATATCTAATCAGCTGTGAGCCAGCATGCCAGGGCCCAGGGGTCAGCAGAAGCGGGGAACTGTGGGTTGGGTCTCCAGCTGTGTGCTGTCTGGTGCTTGAGTTCTATTTTGCTTTCCACTTTCAGCTATCTTTCAGATCATTCAGAGCATAAGGATGGGGATGTGAGACAGCCCGGGCATCTGACTCTGTGCCCTCTCCCTGGAGGGTGGAAGACCACGCAGGCCTGTGACAGGTACCTGTGGGAAGCAAACAAGTCACATAGAAGAGAAAGGAGGGTCCCCGTTGTTCCCTGATCACGTCATCAAGGAAGTCAGACCAGATTGCCTTCTCACAGGATATCTCAGTACTTCCGTGTCCCCAAGCAGAAAGGACATTCTGCTTTCCTGTTGGCCAGATTGTTAGCCAGGCAGGTCACCTGCAGCAGTGCTGTCTGTCTGTTTTCCCCCTCAGTTTCACTAGTGTGTGCATGTGACCCCCTGAATGACCACTGGTTTATTATCTAATAATACAATCTCTCCTCTGTCGGGAATTGGTTTTACAAATAAATGTCTTCATTCAAGCTTATACCATGTGTGGGTTACCAGAAGAAAAGCAAAAGGAAGAAAATAGCAGAAAGCTCAAGGTGGGGTGGGGGCGGATAGGAAAATTTTTTTATGCCATGGTAAAAGAGAAAAAGAATCCTCTGATGGGAATCCAGAGTCTTATCCAGAAGGTCAGGAGTTGTCTGAATGAAGCTCTGGGCTGTTCTAATGACTTTGTATTTCTACACATTTGACTCTTCTTTTTCTTTGTTAAAATATATTTTGGGGCTGGGAATTTGGCTCAGGGTTCTGCTGTCTGCTTCGCAAGAGCGAGGACCCAAGTTCGATCCCCAGTACCAAAATACTTTTTTTTTTTTGTCTTGCTTTGTCCTTGTTCTATTTTTCAGTCCAGAAAAGGCATCTACAATGTGTGTTAAGGTCTGATGATCCGTTATCTCCTCTGTGGTCTGCCTCAAAGGATACAAAGAACAGATGTCTTAGGCGCTCAGTGAAAGCCATCACTTTGGGCACAGCGGCTGACTCCAGAGCCTGAAGCAGGAGCCCTGAAGCACCCTGGGTGGCCACCAAGCAGGAGGGCAGGAGGCCAAGCTTATGGCTGAGTCCCTCCTCTCTCTAGCCAGCCTTCCCGCAGCCTCTCAAAGTGTGGTGTCACCAGATAAAATTACAGGGACACCACAGAGATCTCAGACAGGAATAAAGATAGTCCTCATGCAACTTTAAGAATACCTTTATTTTTTTAAATCCCATCTTTGCATTGGCAATTTTTTTTCTCTTCCCTAACATTATGAAAGCCATACAAAGGGAAGTGGCAGGAATAATGAGCTTCGTCATTAAGTGGCACACTCTGAATTAGGGAGCATCTTAATCATTAGCCTTTCACTCTCGATCAGTGATGGCGAACCTTTCAGAGCTTTCAGTGATAACAAACAGCCCGCTGTTGCACGCATGCAATAGGTTTGCCACCACTGTCCTAGACCCTTTAGTATTGTTCTTGAAAACCTTTTTTTCCCACCCTCTGAAATCCTCTCCCAAATCACTCCCTTCCCATCTCTCTTTCCATCATCTTCCTTTCCCACTGGGGCTGCTAACAGGGCACCTCTTAGACCAGCACCCCAGGGACAGTCTGCCAGCCTTGTGCCAAGGACTCAGACCAGCTGCCTGTCAGGGTCCTGAACCACTTGCCTCCATGCCACCCAGGCTGGGCTCTCCATATACACCACTCCTGACCCTTTTGTTGCCTGCCCTAGACTTGTACATGGATGTTTCTCTTCTTTCCTACTGCCATCAAAAGCATACCCACCAAGCCACCACTGAAAGCGATAATGGGCTGGAGTGCTGTGGTCCACCCTTCACTGGACAGAATTTCTCTTTCCCTAATTTGGACTTTGCCATGACAGCAAAAGGGTGATTATCCACATTTTGAGGAAAAGAAACTGAACCTCAGCCAGAGCCAGCTCCGGACAAGCCCAGCTTGACCCCAGGCGACACTTGTGGTATGCTAAGCCAGCTGCCATCCGAAAAACTGCCCATCTGACCTTTATTCCCAGGCTGTGAAGTCATTCACAAATCGGTTTTCTCCTACTCTTGAGATAGTGTCCCTGAAGTACTTCCATACTGCAACCAGTCTGCCTTCCCCTGTGGCTTTTCCCATCAGTCCTCCACAATTAGAGACGAAACCATAGATAAATCAGGGTCATCACCGGTGGATACTGTATAGCACAGACAACAGGCAGTTTCACTGTGACCCATAGTAAGAAGCACACAGCATCCCAGTGCACAGTTACTCACTGAAACAAGCTCTGCAGAACAGTGTACTCTGGAGTTTTGTTTCTAGTCTGATTTTTAAAATTCTGGTTGTATCCTCCACAACTGATTTCATAACCCATAAATAGATTTCAACCCAATTAGAAACACAGTGATTTTCAAGGAAAATTCAAGCCCTTGGTAGGGGGTAGATAAACAGGGAAGTTTGAACCCCAGCTTGCATCCTGATGAGAATCTAAAGTCACACCTCAGTTGATTCACATGCCTCACACATAAAGAGAGGCTTCTTTTGGGATTTAAGATATGTTGGCTGATCCTGCAGAAAGTAGGTGGAGGGAGATTGTGGAGCGTGTGAATCCACTGAAACACCGTGAAATGAAACACTTAGAGGGAAACCAAAAGGAGACCGCTGCGTTTTTATGACCTACCTGAGAGCATAAGTCTCATATACTCTTCTCAGATGGATGTAACAGTGCTCATTTCAGTATTGGTCCGCACAGGGGTGCTGCAGGAATAAAAAAAGTTCAGTGGCTTCACAAGATATATATAGATATGTATGTATATAATCATTTCTATATAATTACATATGCAATCATCGTTGGCAGTCATATAATAATAGCTGCTCAGGACAGTCTCTGTGGGACTGCACAGAGAAGAGCATTGCTTCATATTCAAGATCATCACCACCAGGGCCCAATCTCAGATGTGCTCTCAGCAGCAGGGAGACTATGGCTGGGTCAACATAGTCCACCCCATCAAATGGACAAAAAGCTCAACTGCCCATGCTAGCAGCAAAGCCACAGTTCTCTGTGTTATTACTATTATTTACAGTAGTTTCTGAAGGCAAAGTTTAGGCAAGTCTCAGAACTGATCCGGGTTGTGGAAGACGGTGGATCTCTGAGTCTGGCCAGCTGGTAGCTTCATTCTGATTGCATTAGTTATCATCAAGCCTCTCAGAATGTCACTCCTGAAGTGGATGGAGATAGAATACGCCACCACTCACACCACCCTGAGATTCAAAACAGAGCGGGCAGGGGAGAGGAAGGGAGGATGGATGGAGGAAAAGGAGAGAAAGAGGTCAGGAGCTAATGCAAAGCGCAGTGACTATAGCTAACAATTCAGGATTATGTACTGGAAATTTGCTAAGTGAACGGTCTTAAATGTTCTCACCACACACAGAGACACATACATATAGACGAGTGATAGCCAAGCAACGTGCTGGATGTGTTAGCTAACTCGATCACCATTACGTTGTACAATATAGACATTTATCAAATAACTATAAATGTATACACTTTTATTTTTCAATTATACTTTTAAAAGCTGGGGGAAAAGAAAGGGAGAGAGAAAGAAGAAAGGAAAGGAAGGGGGAGGAAGAAGATTTTCTTGCAGTTTAGCATGCAATTCGCTTTATCATTCACAAAGACTCACCAATAGGTTTGGCTGCGGCCAGGTGCCAGCTGGGCATGATACACCTCCTGCCCTCCAAGTCCCCACTCTCCGTGTCACACATCGGGGGAAATGGCTCAGGAGGACGGTGGTGGCGTGTCCAGTCCCCAAATTCATGTTGTTTCTACATGGGAAGAGCACTTACTTTTCCTTTTATTTGGCTATAAATATTTTGATAATCCACTTAATGTGCTCTGGGTGTCATGGAACAGATGAAGGCAGACTACAGATAAATTTCTCTCTTTCTCTCATTCTCTCTCTCTCCCTCTGTCTCTCTCTGTCTCTGTATCTCATGCTGTCTCTTCCTCTCTCTCTGATTCCCTCTCCCTCTCTCTTTCTCTCATTGTCTCTCTCTCCCTCTATCTCTTTCTGTCTCTGATGCTGTCACTTTCTCTCTCTCTCTCTCTCTCTTTCTCTCTCTCTCTCTCTCTCTCTCTCTCTCTCTCTCTCTCTCTCTCTCTCTCTCTCTCGTGCTGCAGGGGATCAAAGTCAGCACCTCCCTCATCTGAGCCAAATGCTCTTCTGCTGAGCCATATTTCTAATGACAAGGTATGAATAAGACTGTCAGACCCACAAGCAAGAAAAGGGCCATCATCTTGTTTTGTGGAACAGCTGTGTCTCTGGAACTCACTAAGGGCAGAAGCAGGGACGAGTTACCTCAACCAGTCTTGGAATCCTAGGAGTAGGACCTGCGGGGTCCAACAAACAGCATCCTAAATCTAGACTCCTCCCTTCAGCCAGTGCACTACTGAATTTTCCTCCTGTGGAAGTCAAGGTGGATACCAGAACACACAGTAGCTGTCAATATGACAATGACACAAAAAGTATCTGTGGACCAGAGATGTGTTCACAAACCAGCATCTGCTTTCTCTTCTGGAAGCTTATTTGGAATGGTAAAAGGAAGAAGAGCAGTTGCAGCTCTGTTCTGTGTCCTTTGTGTGGAAACACAGACTTCTACACAGAGTAAACATCTCCTTTGCTTGTGTATGGCACCAGCTCCTATCTGGTCTGCTTTCCAGCAAGTAAATAGGCAAAAGATGGCAAAGAAAATCAAGGCTCCATGAATTAGGGCCATTCACTGTCAGAATCACCAACCCTGTATTTCAAGGAACATCTCTAGCTCTCAATCTCCTTCACTGGCTGCAGCCGGGAGGGAGCCTGAGACCTGGGAACAACATAGATCTGTTGCAGTCTTTCAGTGAAACTGCTAAAGTCTCTCCCCATCTTCTACCACCAGAGTTGCTGCCTGAGATCATGGTTTACTTGTACTGGAAAAATCCCCTGCTGCTTTTCAACTGGGACCATCTCCCCTGGGGCTAAGAGGGGAAAGTCGCTGATATAATAACCCTGCTTGAGCTTTGCTGCCAGCTGCAACAGGTAGAAAGAAGCCAGTGCGTGGGCTCTGGGCCCAGAGCAGCAAGGTAGCAGAGGATGGCCAGCTGACAAAACAATCTTCAAGTCTTCACAGCAAGGAAGCCACCCTTGGCATCATGTCCCTCGGGTATTGGGCGCCTCTTTGTGCCTGTGTCCCTATTCATTTCCCTGCCTCTTTGTGGCTCTGTATCTCCCTGCCTTCATCTGTTTCCTCTCCCTTCTACCTCTTTTTTACTGTCTCCAATCTCCCTCACTCTGTCTCCTGTCTTTCTATCTCTCTGTTTAGTCTATCAAACGAAGAGTAGCCATGGCTCTACATCCAACAAGAGTATTCATTCTCCACTTTGAAGTGCAAAGAATGCCTGGGGTTGCAGACCTCAGCACTACCTCCTCTTCACTTTGACTAGCCAGGCACCTGGCAGGTCGCACTGCCCTGGACTGGCCAGTCCCTCTGCCCAGGCCCA